AGATGGATAACTTGTAAAACTTTTTTTTTCCCTTCTGTTGGAGCACCATATACTCTTCCAACTTTGGAATTTGCTAGTTGTTGCAGATTAGATGGGCTCTTGATTGGTCTAATATAACATTTTTTTTCCAAAGTCCCTTTATGTATAATGTTTTCTTCCCTATTCAAGAATTTTAAAGTGTGTTTTATTGAATGTCTTTGTAGGATCCAAGTTTAAAATAAGCCCCACAAGTTTATGTTTGGGGTTTTTTGTTTGTTTGTTTTCTGTCCAGTAATAATATTGTGGGGTTTCCCCACAATATTATCTACCCTACAAATTGGGGAAAGATACTGGGCTTCCACAAGAAATAACGTGGAAGTGTCTTATCTTTCTAGGTGAGTTTAAGGCCAAAGAGCCTATATGCTCTTCCAATACTTTCCTAATTCTAATGTTTAAATTCTTTGCTTAGCAATGTAGGCTTAAGAAATAGAGCTTTTCTCTGCATAGCTTAAAAAATTAGAACTTAACATCATCAGGTTCTTCTGTCTCATGTGAATTTCTTATATTCAATTAATAAGGAAGGGATGATGTTCTTTGAAATATCAAAAATAGTAAATGAACCTGTTTCTTGCAATTCAGTGCTGTCCTGCTGATGTTCTTGATGTGGACTGATTCTTAGGTTTTTGTGTCTGTGTATCTCCAACATTTAGGACTTGAGCTGCAGCAGGCACTTGTAGAACTTGAGACTTTAGAAAATGTTTTGCAAAGATCAGTGCATAATATACACACAACATTTTTCAAACCTGACTTTTTTTTTCTCATCTTTTTAGGAGACTGTCTTCACTTTGACATGATATATGAAGTTTGTTAGTCAGCATTTTTTTGTTTATTTACAGTTATTGTGGAAGGTATGTATGAGAAAAGTAAATCTTGGTCCTTCTCTGTTCATTTTTATCAGAGCATATTGCTATCAATGTAGAGAAGCAAAATACAAAGAGGAGTGTGGAATTGTTTTGTTGAATTCATGAATGCCAGTACTTTGTCAGTAAGTGAGATAATATATCTGTCTAAAACTTCTCAAAATAATAGTTTCTATCTGTTTTTGCATTCTGTGTGAAGTTTTACAGGGTTTATCTGTCATTAAACTTAGTATATATTTCA